CAGAACTAGCACAGCTAGTATCTTTACTCAAGTTAAAAGTAGACTGGGGTGCATTATTCTTTTCATAAACCACATCATCATCACACATGGACCAAACTTTAAATAATTCTTTGTATTCAATGGCACCGGTCCACTCTTGGCCTTTGTTTTCTTTAAATAAATTTAAAATGTCTGGTTCAATAAAAGATTGAAGAATTTTGAGTTTATCCAGTGATGCATGTGGATGAACATTAGAGTCCTGGTTCTCTTGTTCAGGCTGATCTGTTACTGGGGGACCACTGATTAATCTTGAAAAATCTATACTTCTTTCATTGAAAGGATAAAGCCCACACTTGGAAAAGGAATTTTGAAAAATTTTATTTAAATTCAAACCATTCAAGGCTTTTTTTAACACACTTGGAAAGAAAACTTTGGTAGGGTGCTGTCCATTGTTTTCCAATCTCCAATTTCTTACTTCTTTTTTATAGGCTGTTTTAAGTGGTCGAAAAAGTCCTACATCCATGGGTTGGTGAAGATGTGTTGCATTTGGTACCAAGCCAATCAACTCTATTTGATGGTCACAACAAAAGTCACTCAATGCTTTTGTCAAGTGAGAGCTGTGGCCATCTACGTACAAAATAACTGGAAACTGTATATTGTTCCTTACACACCATGGATAGAATTGATTCACTACATATGAATAAAAAGTTTCACTAGTCATCCAGCCAGATTCGGACTTTCCAAGGATGAAATCACTGGGAAAATGCTCAGCAATCACTTTGGGTATTCGATCATAGTTGTAAATAATCATGGGTGGGATTAATTGTCCTGCAGCACTTCCTCCAATCAATGCCGTGTAACATTCCTTATCATTCTTACAAACATTATAAACATTCTTATTTCCTCTTTCAGTCAAAACTTTGTCAGTTTTTGGACAGAGCATGAAGGCAGATTCATCACAATTAAATATTCGATTGGGTTCCACATTTAACAAATTTTTTTTCTCCAAGTAGTTCCCTACCTCTGCATACCAATCTCTGAAGGATTTTTGGCTTACATTCGATCTTGCCTTGGTAAGATTTTGACAAAATTTTTCTGATAATTCGGGATTTCTTCTCAAGAAAGCTGCATACCAGTGTTTTGATGGCCTACCATCGGTGAACGGTGTGATTCGTTTTGTGTTTTTCACAATTATTTGAACACTGTCCAGTAAATGCTGCTTAGTCACTGGAAATCCACACTTGCTCATCGAGAAAATCCAGTTGACTATGTCCTTTTCTTCTTTTGGACTTAAAATACTACTGGGTCCTTTTTTAGTTTCCAAAGGATAAATACCTTTCACTCTAGAATACAGCGTTGCATAAGGTACCTTGTGGATCCTACTTGCTTCATTTATCGCTGTTCCCGTTTTGACAGCATCAAGCGCATTTTGTAAATCATTTTTTGAATAAGGTGACACACGACGGGATTTCTTGCTCTGCAAATAAAAAAAAATATTAGATGCAGAAACTGCTTCATATTCAAGTTAGGTTATGTTACGTTTTTTTTCATACAATAACTATTTACACAATTGGTAATAAAATAGTAATTAAGTTATAAAACTAAAGTTATGATAACAAAATACTGCTTCATTTTAAGAAAATAAACGCTCAATTGCAATTGCATTAACGTTATCGACTACTACTCCACGAGTAAATTTAGATACCTAGTAGCCGATAATTGAATTATATAAATATTACGTTTTTTATTTTATATCTTACCTTTTTTTCCTTGCCCATTTTCACACGATTTATAGCCTTGAGCTTACTACACTCTTATAAATATAACGTTAATAAAATAAACCAGCGTAGAGAATGTAACAAAGTGCTAAGCGGCAATATTACGAGAAGGCGCTCCGATCGTCTGAACAGAGGCATGTCCACAAATTAAAGCATTCCTATTTAAATAACGTAACGTAATTTTAATTCTTGTGTGCAGCCTGTGTAGCCTAATCATAATTCTTAGTAAAAAAATTTTTTTTAAGCCTCCCAGAAAGTCTTTTTTTCTTATTAATTGGTTTTTTATAGAATTATCGACAACTGGGTCCTTATCGAGTACTGGGTCAACTACCCTTAGCCGTTCTTCCCCCACATAACCCAAGCTGTGAGGGCGCTGCGGAACCAAAGCAAGGTCAGGCAGCCGTTCCGTTCGGGACAGCAGCGTCACCAACGTTCTCTCAGTGTATGACTGATGTGTAAGCTGTCGTGTTTATACGTGTTTGTACGTATGAAGGTAACCCGAGAGCGGACAATCACCGTCAGAGCGTTCGTCGACGCCTGCTTGGAAATCTCGATCACATCCACCGGACTCGCTCGAAAGCTCGGTGCTCGTCTCGAGCCAACTGCCACTAACATCTTGAGCGTCGGCGGAGTCGGCGTCACGCGCTCGCCGATGATCGCACAGCTACAGGTGCAAACCCGGAACTCGGCATGGGCGTTGCAGCTGACTGCACACTGCCTACCTCAATTAGGACTCCTCACTCCTTCGGCACCGCTGCCCCCAGCGGTCATAGACTTGTGACGTGACCTACCAGACCTCTCGGACCCAAACTTTTGGACACCGGGTGATGTGGACATACTTCTCGGCGCCGACGTGTACTCTCACCTGCTGCGGCCAGGGCTCCTGCTCCGGGGAAATCTCATCGGGCAGCTCACTGTCGCGGGCTGGACTTTGACCGGTTGGGTGTCGTGTCACCCCATCCCACCCCCGATCGCCACTTGCCTTACGACTCAAGATGCCGGCACCCCGCCCTGGCATGATCAGTTGGTAGCGTTGATGCAGCGGTTTTGGGACCTTGAAGACGTACCCCGAGTAGTCCGTCAGTCACCCGATGACGCCGAGTACGAGACAATTTTCGCTCATCATCGCCGAGCCGCTGACGGACGCTACATCGTCCGCCTTCCACTAAAGCGCAGCGGGACCTAGCTGCTCGGAGAGAGTTTTCCCAGTGCGAGGGCGTCCCTCCGATCTTTACAGTGCAGACTGCAACGCGACCCCGAGATGTCTGCTGAGTACGTCCTCTTCATGGACGAGTATCTTCGCTGTGGGCACATGCGGCCGCTGACCGACGCCGAGCTGCGCGCGTCCCCCGGGCCAGTGCACTACATCCCGCATCATGGCATCTGGCAAGCCGGCGACCGATGAAGAAGACTGCGCGTCGTCTTCAACGCATCACGACCGACTTCAACTGGCTACAGCCTCAACGACGCACTGCATGCTGGACCGAAGCTTCAAACCTGCCTGCCAAGCGTTTTGCTGCGTTGGAGAAGGCACCGAGTTGCTTTTTTCGCGGACATCCAGATGATGTTTCGGCAAATACTTGTCAATGAACGTGACGTGGATCTCCAACGGATTCTATGGAGCATGGACGAGTCAAGCCCACCAAGGCATTTTCAGCTGCTTACCGTGACTTACGGTGAGGCCAGTGCTCCTTATCTCTCTCTGCGCACGATTCTGCAGCTTTGCGAAGACGAAGGTCACGCGTGGCCCGAAGCTGTACCGATTGTCAAGAGCGATCGCTACGTCGACGACGTTCTCTCAGGTGCTGACGATGTGCAGACTGCGCGACTCCGTCGCGATCAGCTGATTGGCCTGCTGAGAGCTGGCGGATTCCCCCTCAAGAAATGGGTCGCAAATGAGCCAGAGCTCCTGCGTGATCTCCCTGTGGACTCCTGCCTCAGGCCATCTTGGCGACAGCTCAGAGTGGACGGCCTCGTTAGCGAGCTTGGCGTCAGCTGGGACCCCATCGGTGACTGTTTTCACCTCACTCCACCTGCCATACAGCCACAGCAGACGAAGCGCACCATGCTGGCAGCCCTTGCTAGACTCTTCGATCCCTGCGGGTGGATTGCGCCCGTCATCCTCGTCGCCAAGCTGATCATCCAATATCTCTGGCGTGCGCGACTGGACTGGGATGAGGCTGTGCCAACATCCATGACTCAGCGATGGCACGCATTTCTGAGCCAGCTGCAGAACGTCTCCGTACTTACCATTCCTCGCTGGATCGGTTATTACCCTTCGGCTACTCTGCAGCTCCACGCATTCGCAGACGCCAGTCGTCGAGCGATGGCAGCCGTCGTCTACTCGCGCGTTGATGATCCGGTCGAGGGCGTCCGAGTGCGTGTCTTGATATCCCGCACCAAATTAAACACCATCAAGAGCCTGCAGCCTAATGCTTCTCATCCAGCACGCATGACCATCCCTCGATTAGAGCTACGAGCTGCCCTGCTCACAGCAAAATTACTCCGCATGGTGGCCGAAGAGTACGCCGTGAGTTTCGAGTGCTGCCACGCCTGGAGCGATTCCCAAATCGTGCTCCACTGGCTTCGATCGTCAGAACCTACCAAAAACTCGTTAGTCGACAACTACGTGGCCCACACTCAAGAAATTCTGCCCTCGCAAGTCTGGAGGCATGTTCCCACGGACTCGAATCCAGCAGACGTGGCATCTCGAGGCACTGACTTGGCAACACTCCAACAAATACACCTGTGGTGGGAAGGCCCTCATTGGCTCGCAGAACCCACAGATTCATAGCCAGTCGAAGTTACGAGCCTCTCGAGCCCTGCCGAACCCACCTCTGAGGAGATCGTTCACACCTGTTGCGCCACTCGGCTTGTCGCTGCAAGTTTTGTCGACCTATTTTCGGATCTGGATCGACTTCTGCGTTTTGTTGCTCGGCTGCGTAGATGGATCCGCTGCAAGACACGTCGTGATCCTGCTCTTCCGGTCCTTGCGCCCTTGACTGCCATCGAGCTGCGCGACGCCTATCTCGCCTGCGCCCGACTCAGCCAGCGGCAGACTTTCGCTCTCGAGTTCGAGAGCTTGCAGAAGGAAGGCCGCGTGGCCGCAAAGAACCCGCTGCTGCCCCTGGATCCCATGGTAGTCGACGATGTCATTCAAGTTGGCGGTCGCCTCCAGCACTCCGCTCTCAGCTTCGACGAGCGACACCCCCCGATTCTCGACGGACAATGCTCGCTCGCTCAGTTGGTCATCCGTTGAGCTCACGCCCGAGCGCTTCATGGAGGAGTCCGACTCACCAACGCGTACGTCTCTCGCAAAGCCTGGATCATCGGCGGGCGGCGACGACTCAAGAGCCTGTTGAACAAGTGTGTCGTCTGCGTTCGGTTACAGGCTCGGCCCGCCACGCAACACATGGCGCCTTTGCCAGCAGCTCGAATTACTCCCGCTCGTGCTTTCTCCCGCACTGGCGTCGACTATGCCGGCCCGTTCAATATCCTCAGCGCTAAGGGCCGAGGCATCCGCACGAGCAAGGGCTACGTCGCTGTGTTCATATGCTTGACTACAAAAGCAGCTCATCTCGAGCTCGTTGGCGAACTCTCTACCGAGTCTTTCATCGGCGCACTGACCAGATTTTGCGCCAGACGTGGCTGGCCATCCGAAGTCTGAAGCAACAACGCCACCTGCTTTGGCGCCGCCAACCGAGAACTGCGAGAAGCTCTCCAGGAGGCAGAGTTGCAGTGGGAGCACATCGCTGGCTCGCTGGCGGACCAAGGAATCACGTGGCACTTTATTCCTCCTCGAGCACCACACTTTGGTGGTCTGTGGGAGGCCGGTGTCAAATCCATGAAGCATCATCTTCGCCGTGCCGTCGGGCCTCGGAACCTCACCTATGAGGAATTTTCCACGGTGCTCACCAGCATCGAGGCGGTCCTCAATAGCCGCCCTCTCACCCCGTTGACCAGCAGCCCCGACGACCTTGACGTGCTCACTCCCGGACATTTTCTTCTCGGTGGCCCTTTGAACTCTGTCATCGATGCCAGCTCCACGTCTGACACGCTCGATCGCTTGGCCCACTTGTAAACTTGTCCGCTTGAAACTTGTCCGCGGCATCCGAAGTCAATTCTGGGGCCGCTGGAGTCGCGAGTATTTAAACACGCTCCAACAACGGCCCAAGTGGAGGGTCCCGCGTCGAAACTTCAAGGATGACGATGTCATCACCCTAATAGACGACACGCTCCTTCAATCCAGTGGTGCTTGGCCGATTGGCCGCATCATCTCCATCCATCCCGGCCCCGACGGACTCGTACGAGCCACCACCATGCGGACTGCCACCGGCGAGTACGTCCGCCCCGTCAGCAAGCTGTCTCTGCTACCCGTCCAAACTGACACCACCAGCGAGGATGTGTTGCAGGACCCAGTGGATGAATCTGGCCCAGGCACGGCGGGCGGGATCAAAAGTCGTTTACGAAACGAGGCGGGCGGGTTGTGCGGAATTCGTTTCTCGCGCCCTCTCTCCTTTCATTAGACGGACACCTGCCATCTACACATATATATATATANGCTGTCCATTGTTTTCCAATCTCCAATTTCTTACTTCTTTTTTATAGGTATATATATCCTATATAATCCGTGGGTCTCTCTCTTGGTTTTTTTGTGCTTGTTCGAAGTGAATAAAGGAGTTGAATTAAACATTGGTCCTTCGAGCCGGATTCAGAGCAGCTAGGATAGCTGGCTATTCCCAGAAATGTAAGTAAAACCATGATTTCTGAGACTCTCTGCGTTTCAAACGCAACGAGACATTGGGCCTCTGGTGCACGCGATATATTTAGACAGAGTCGCGCCATGAGAGATCGAGGTTAGGTGAACCTCCACGCGATGGGAGGGTGAGAGACGCCCAGAAATCCGCCGTAACTGCCATGCAGTCTGCGTCGCGGGCCTCGCACGTGATTGCGATCACGCAGCTCGAGAATTTGTCATGAAGCGAACGTGTTGCAGATCACACGCTGCCTCACGTCCAAACTTTAGCTGATGGCCGGGCCCACGCCAGCCCTTCTTCCTCTCTCAGGTCTCAAACTCTTCACGGTGCGCACGAATGCTGAATGCATCGTGGGTGACAAGGCTCCGCTTGAAGTGGCAAGCGTCGAGCTCATCGTGCTTTAAATTCGCAGGGCACATCAAGGCTGGTCTGATCTGCTTGCAACGCAGCATGCTCTCCTCGATGTTTTGGATCAGTTCACTTAATCAGCCAGGGGCATCGAATCCTGGAGCATGGGGCTCGTCGACGCTAGGGCAGTGTTGCTCAATAGCTACTGGAACTACTTCCAAGCTAATCATCGTGACTTGATTCCGGGCGCACCTGAGGACAAAGTTGCCTCCCTCAGAGTCCTGTACTCATCTGGAGAGGGACACGACCTCAGCGCTAAGGCGTGCCTTTATGACGCCAAGAGTGGGCTGACTCCTCTTCCTGGACCCGGCGGACCGCCCCTTCTCCTTGGGCCTCACGCCGGCCCTCGTCTGCCAAGCATCAACATCCCGCTTTTTTCTGGCCGTCGCGAAGATTGGCAGTCATTTCGCGACCTGTTTTAAGCACTCATCCACCAAGACGCTCGTCTCACCGATGTCGAGAGACTTTATTATTTAAAGTCTCACGTACAAGGTGAGGCAAAGGCAGTGTTGGATACATTGCAGCTCGTCGGCTCCAACTATTCGACCGCCTGGAGCCTCCTCACTTCGCGGTTCGAGCACCACCGCCTCCTCGTGCAGGATCATATCACGGCTCTAAGGACGCTCAAGACTCTAAGAGAAGAGTCTGCTGCTGGTTTGCAGGGCCTGCTCGATACCTTGGAGAAGCACCGTGACCAGCTAAAAGCGCTGAAGCAGCCCGTGGAACAGTGGGACGTGTGGATGATCTCCTTTGCCTCCACCGCCATGGACCCATCGACTCGGAGGGCCTGGGAGGACGAGCTTGAGAAGCTGGATGCAGCTGCCTTGGCGCCTGGAGAAGTTGCCACATTCGCCAACCTGTCTAGCTTTCTGCGGTGGCGTGGCCGCTCTCTAACCTCAGTAGAGGCCTCGCGCAGCCTACGCTCAGCGAGCGATTTATTCAGCTCACGTTCAACGAGTGGCCGCCCTGCCGGGCCAGCACCGATCGGCCGCAACCACAGGACTCTCGCCACACATGCGGCCGAAGCTGACTGCTCTGTTTGCCATGCTCCTCACTACATCGGCCATTGCAGTCGTTTTCTTCAGCTGGATGAGACAGCACGCCGGGCTCTCGTTGCTCAATCGAAGCTGTGCTTCAACTGCTTGAGGTCAGGCCACATCGCTCACTCCTGCCCATCCCAAGGTGTATGTCAGCACTACAGCGCGAGACATCATAGCTCAATTTACGACGGCAGCCGTAAACGCAAGGCCGACCCCGAGTCAACAAGCACTCAGGCCCAGCGAGCACGACTCACTACAGATTCCAAGGAGAGCATCGACCCGGCGGTCGACTCGCAGCTGTGACTAAGGGTGGTTGACCCAGTACTCGATAGCCTAAGACGAATGAGCTTAATAAACAGTGTAATTAAGAAAAAAGAGTTAACTGATTTTTTTATTATATGATATGTATATGTAAGAGTGGAATAACGTAAAAACAATTTTTTTTTTCAACACATATTATGTAGAAGAAACTAATTTTAATGAAATGACGACGGACCCAGTAGCCGATAGTGATGGAGTGGCTTGGAGCAGTAGTCGATAGCGATGGACCCAAAAGTCGATAAGTGATAGAATTATAGGTTAGAATTAAATAATTGAATTTAATACTGCATTATTGTAGTTTTTGGTAATTTATTTGTTAAAATTAGTTTGAACTTTTAAACAGTACATACATGTAAGTGGATTTTTAGTAACAATCACGTAGAAAATTTGTTTTAAATAAAGAAAGTTACTGAAATTTACTGAGAGATTTTTACATGTGATAAAAACAAATTTAAAAAAATTATTTGTCATTACTAGAAAAATCTTTGTTTCCTTTTTTGGGGTTTAACTGCTGTATCTCAAAATTAATTTCAGTAATTTTATTTTTCAAATATTTCTGTTGTTGTAAATTAATTTCAATTGTATGTTCCAAGTTCTTCATACCTTCCGTTTGGAAGTCTTCACAGTTGTCCTTTTGTAAACTAATTTGAATTAAATTGAGTTCTGCCTTGTTTTTTTNCGAAATAGAAGGGAAAAAAAAAAATAATATTTACACCGCCGGAGATTTGAACCCGGGAGTGATTATAGTAGATAGGTATGGCAACTTAGCTGCCTCGACTACTAGCACATTGGTCCCATAAGTGCATAAAGTGACATAGGTTTATAATGGAGCTCCAAGGTTTAAGTTGAAGTTTTTTTCTCTATTGGTAATTGAGTTAAAATATAACTACTTTAAAGCAGAACTAATACTTTTCTGAACATTTTAATAAATACTTATTCTTATTGAAAATGTTACATCTATCGAAGAACGACATTTTAATTCTAGAAAANATATATATCCTATATAATCCGTGTGCCTCTCTCTTAGTTTTTTTGTGCTTGTTCGAAGTGAATAAAGGAGTTGAATTAAACACATAGTAAGTAGTTGTAAATTAGTATGTGCAGTGTTGTAGAATATTACATATTTTCTATGTTGAAATTCGTAGTGTACTCGTAGTGTAAAACAATAAGCTACGAGACTTTGATGAAAATTGACCGAGCGTAAATTGAAAATCTGAGAAAACATTGTTTTTTGGTAATGGGTGTGAGGTCTGAGAAGAATTCATACACGTTTTTGATTGATGCTTTTCAACTATTGTTTAGTACAAAGAAGTATACTTGGCTAGCGATGTAAAAGAAGTTAAACGACTACAAACTTATTTTACTTCCGCAGTATCAACGACACTACCTTGAACATAGCTTAAAATTACCGTTACTTTTGACTGGTTACATGAAATTAAACATTTTTGTTTTTAAATTGATAGGGTGGGAGATAAACTGTGAGGTTTTCACGGGTCTCCCAACTCTTTTTCTCAGCCGAAAGTGAAAAAGGAATTGGAACTGACATTTCGACAATTTCACAAATGACTCAATTTAACAAGAATCTAAGCATGTCTGAGCGTTTTTTAACGTATTTATTTACATTTTCATCGAGTCACGTGAACTTTCGACGTGATCCAAGCCAATTACAACAAAATCAACCAAGTACGCGTATGATGAATGGTACCACCACTTCATCATTCTTATTACTCGTTCTCGGATGTATAATTAAATGTAATTAATTGAAACATGATGAGTGATCGCTAGGCCTAATATTAGGCCAGTTCTCAATTCTTTGACCATTAGTATACTAACATCTGTTGTCAGAAGTTGGTATGTTTATTACCTTCCTGATTAACTTAGCCGTAATATACTTAAGAAAAAAGTAGTGACACTCATTTCGTTGTTTTGACATTTCGAGCACACTTTAGTACTTGGCAATTTTAAGAAATACAAGGACAATGTGTTCATGTGATGTATGCGTATCACAGAATCGGTCCCGTCGAATGACGAATGATAAATTTTTTTTTTCACGTTAGTGAATGAATTCATGTTTTTAATACTGCTTATCTAGTAATTTTACAACTTTCCAATGTACCCGATATCTGGTGAGATCAGTATTTATGGTACTTATACATAATATTCATGATGGTAGCTTTCTCAGCTGGGCCACGTATTCACTCCGAGCCGATACAGAGGTTGCGCCCCCTCTAGCCAAAATCAGGCAAAATTTCTTGCATGTAAACAAACGGCTTAGAACATATATACATGCGTATAGCTGCTTGTGATTGGCTGAATAAGACAGCAGGAGAGGATCGTCGTTCTCTCTCTAGCTTGCCAAGTGCCAATCACAAGCAGCTGTACGTATGTATATATGTTCTAAACCGTTTGTTTACATGCAAGAAATTTTGCCTGATTTTGGCTAGAGGGGGCGCAACCTCTGCATCGGCTCGGAGCGAATA